TTTTTTTTCAGAGTTCGTCAGCTTCTCGATCGTTTCGGCTTTTGCGATATCTTGAATTTTTAAGTAAACCGTGGGTTTATGTATTTAGCAAAGAGGGGATAGTGCTTTTTTTGGCTATGCTATTGCGCTTGCGCATTTTTAGCCATTCGCTTTTCAGGATATTTGCAGTAGATGTGGATGAAGGAGAAAATGCCGCTCTGTCGTACAGTTTTATTCATGCAGATGCACAGTTTTCCATTGATAGTGATGGTCGAATAAACACCACAATGCCTCTGAAGTTGAATCAGTCATATCATTTAACAGTCAAGGTTCGTTCGTCATCTAGCATTGTTAAAACTGTTTTGTTGATTCTGCTGAACGAAACACAACTGGAAACTTATTTGCAGGCTAATGATGGCGGTCACCCTCAACATTCATCGTTTCCAGTATCAATCACCTTGAATGCTACTGGAAGGCATTTTAAGAGAAACGTAACGATTTTTACTATTTTTACATTGTGATGCCTGCGGCGAGCCGGTCATTTTCAGAGAGCATACTTAGAATGGCTTGAATTCCTCCGGTGTCTGACTAATTTTGAATCGCTTGCGATCCCATTGTGGTTCGCACATATAACTGAGCTATTGGGTAGTGATTGAGAATCGACTGAGTAATTACATTCTTTTCTGATTTTCTCCTGGAGATATGCGATATCCGGGAGCTGTTGGATGAGATACAACACAAAGTGGTTTACTCGCTGTTGTCTAAGTATTTAAACGCTTATCGGCTGACTAAAATGCAGAATGCAAAACCGCGATTGCTGAATGAAGACCGCTGGACACGCCTGACGATATCGGATGCGGATGCTGTTGGTGAAACAATTGGGCTGATTGAAGCCGATGATCCTGATGGAGATCAGTTATGGTGGAAGTTGACTGATGGAAACTACAATAACACATTCGCCATCAGGTTGACTGTTTTAGTAAAGCATTGCAGTTTTACAGAGCCCTTTTTGCAGATTGCAGTGGGAGTATAAAATGGTAGAATAGAAAAAAAGTGGCTGAACTAAGTGCCATGTGCAAAAAGACATGCTGTGTTTCATCCCTTAGCTGTAAATATAGCTCGAAGACAGCACACTCCCGCATACTGTGCAGATCTGTTTTTAGAACTAGTGGATGAAATACAGACTGTATTCAGAGATGTGCTCTTGCCCGTGACAAAAGAAATCGCGATGTGGTGAACTGAAAAGCACTTGGATTATCAGGTAGTTAACACTTAAGTGGCAGGCAGAGCAATCATAGGACTGCAATATCGATGACGCAAATGCGCTGCGATGAAACACCTCAGTTGAGAAAAGTAAGCTTGGAAGGGCTACATTAACCTCATCCTGTTACTGAACTACTCTCCCATTGATTTAACACTGTTTTGATGATTTTATAGTCACCATAATTTTACTCATAAAGATAAACCACAGAATTAACTTCTAATGAATCTGAGGTTTGTTTTTTGCTGCTTGTAGATGCGATACTGGCGAGTTATATCTCGCAAAAAGCCTTGATTACATCAGCATGGATATCTCTGAAGTGAAACTGAAATTCGTTGTAAGCGACGGCCTGAACACAACCGAAGGCACTGTAAGTGGAATTGATGGTTCATTCCAAGAATATGCTTAAATTGGGCTTTTCAAATTGTTTTATAATCATAAGTTTTAAACTTTTCAAGTCTTTTGGAGAGCCTTTTTAACTGAATGTCCGTGC